GAGAAATGTTAGTGATACATGAGCATATTGTGCATATGAAGGTAAAAAGGCAGGAAAAATATTGAGATCCATTCTATATACTCTAAATTCAAGTAGATTACTTCATTAGAAAAATTATTTAAATTTTTTCTTAATATATAATATCTTATTAATTAAAAAAACCAAAGTTTCTTTCCTGGGTTTACTTTTTCCTTAGGACTTTCTAAATGGGTACGGCAGCAGATTCAGCACCATTCAACCTTTGAAAGTGCACTGGAGTCCTTGGCTGAATTTTCCAAAAAGCACCAAAAGGTCCCTAAGGTATCCAAAGAGGACGGAAAGTCTGTACAGGACAGTGAGGCTACACTTGAAGTAACCTGTGTGAAGGACAGCACCTCAACTTATTTATTAGAAACGGCAAGTCATCCATCACCAGAAAGCCCTCGGGATGGTGAAGCAAAAATGTGTGTCGAAGAACTACAGTGTCATAAAATGATAACTAAAAGTCCATCTCTACCAAGTGACATCACCTCCAGAAAGGACGAAAGTATGAAAAGTTCTGTCCATTTACATTTGATAGAGAAGTCTTGTGTTATATTTAGTGAAATGATATTTATTATGGTTCAGATTAATTTCCTTAAATAAGTTGGTTTGTAACACAAGGTGTTACCATAAATTAATGAAATAGTATGGTGTATTGGAATGGGAACAAACTTTTGTCAGGAGACCTGAGCATATTTTTTGGTTTTCACTAATAAGCTTTGCCACTAACTAGCAGGTCATTTAACTTTTTGAATCTCAATAGAGAAATGATTATCTGCTACCTGTGGCTCCAGGTTGCGTTGGGAAGATCTAATAACATGACCAAAATCACAGCATTGTAAAGTACTATACAAATGGTAGATGTTTTTTTAAAGGCTTTATTAAAAGCTGGTCTAATTTATAGATTTTTTTTTTACATGAGTTTCTCAGTTTAGGGAAGTAGAAGTCATTTGTTCTAAATGATAAAAAAATATATTTTAAAATATATTAGAATATAATGGTCTATATCAAGGATTGGCAAACTGGCCTATGAACCAAATTTGGCCTGCTGTCTGTTTTTGTAAAGTTTAATGGAACACAGTTATGCCCATTTGTTTCCATATTGTACATAACAGCAGAGTTGACTAATTATATTATTATACTAGAACAGTATAATTGAGTAGTTGAGACAGACACAATATGACCCATAAAACCTAAAATATTTACTCTCTGGCCTGTTATTGAAAAAGTTTGCCAGACTGTAGTCTATATCATTGGAAGTTATTTCAATTGTTTTAATTAATATATGATAGTAGTTTAACATACCCATTTTAAAATATTTATGTTATAATACATGCTTCTATCCTAAATAAAAGTCATAGTGAATTCAGGGCCATTATACCGGTAGTCAAGAAACCTAGGTTCTAGTCCGGATCTAATTACTAACCAGTTTTACATCTTAGTCTTTGTGGTTGTCAGTTTCCCTAAAGGAATTAGTCTAGATCAGATTTTTTCAATCATTAGTTGGTAGATTTTTTAAGGCAGATTTTTATAGCCTGTTCCCTCCTTTACTCAGCCATCTTCCTCTTTCTTTTTACCCCTCCTTTTCTCACTCATTCCTGAGATCCTTGGTGTCGAATTTGATAATTTACCAGACAGCATTTTAACTTGGGTTAGGAATCACTGGAGACCTAAGATTTCTTTCAGAATTAACATTTTGTGCTTTACATTCTAAGATGAAAGTCCTGTTACTACTGGTTGTGGGTTCAAAATTATGTATCCTANCCTGTGGCTCCAGGTTGCGTTGGGAAGATCTAATAACATGACCAAAATCACAGCATTGTAAAGTACTATACAAATGGTAGATGTTTTTTTAAAGGCTTTATTAAAAGCTGGTCTAATTTATAGATTTTTTTTTTACATGAGTTTCTCAGTTTAGGGAAGTAGAAGTCATTTGTTCTAAATGATAAAAAAATATATTTTAAAATATATTAGAATATAATGGTCTATATCAAGGATTGGCAAACTGGCCTATGAACCAAATTTGGCCTGCTGTCTGTTTTTGTAAAGTTTAATGGAACACAGTTATGCCCATTTGTTTCCATATTGTACATAACAGCAGAGTTGACTAATTATATTATTATACTAGAACAGTATAATTGAGTAGTTGAGACAGACACAATATGACCCATAAAACCTAAAATATTTACTCTCTGGCCTGTTATTGAAAAAGTTTGCCAGACTGTAGTCTATATCATTGGAAGTTATTTCAATTGTTTTAATTAATATATGATAGTAGTTTAACATACCCATTTTAAAATATTTATGTTATAATACATGCTTCTATCCTAAATAAAAGTCATAGTGAATTCAGGGCCATTATACCGGTAGTCAAGAAACCTAGGTTCTAGTCCGGATCTAATTACTAACCAGTTTTACATCTTAGTCTTTGTGGTTGTCAGTTTCCCTAAAGGAATTAGTCTAGATCAGATTTTTTCAATCATTAGTTGGTAGATTTTTTAAGGCAGATTTTTATAGCCTGTTCCCTCCTTTACTCAGCCATCTTCCTCTTTCTTTTTACCCCTCCTTTTCTCACTCATTCCTGAGATCCTTGGTGTCGAATTTGATAATTTACCAGACAGCATTTTAACTTGGGTTAGGAATCACTGGAGACCTAAGATTTCTTTCAGAATTAACATTTTGTGCTTTACATTCTAAGATGAAAGTCCTGTTACTACTGGTTGTGGGTTCAAAATTATGTATCCTATACAGTTATTGTAGTATTTCTAACAAAAATCATTTTTATAGAACAATTGTTATGTTAGGAACAGAAAGTTAACATTCTTACATTTTTGTATTCATAGGCAATCCAGCATTATTGGAAGAGTCTGCCCAGGCGATGAAAGCAGAAAAAATTGTGATATCCAGATCCACAAGCCCAACCTTCAACAAACAAACAAACAGAGTTAGCTGGTCTAGCTTTAATTCTTTGGGACAGCATCTTTCTGGTAAAATTCTGACTACAACACCTAAATTTAGGTCATCAGAGGACTGTGCCTCTAGTTCTTTCACTTTCAAAACAGAAAAGGGATGTAAAACTGACTTGCCATTCACGGTTAAAGTTGAGTCCTCATCTCTGAGAGTAAACACATCACTTGGACCATGCGCTCAGTCAGAAACCATTATTCCGTCCATAAAGACTGATGCTGCACTTCTTAAAAAAGATCATTCCAAACAGCTGCTGTGCTGTGAAGAAACCCTGGACCCAGACATTGAATTGTCTCTAGTAAGTGAAGAAACCAAACTTTCCACTTCAAATATAGATTATGAAACAGAAGCAGAAGATGAATCTATCTACTTCACACCTGAACTTTATGATCCTGCAGATACAAATGAAGAAAATAATGAACTAGCTGAAACTGATAGAGACAATAGATTGGCTAATAACTCAAATTGTATCTTAGCTGAAGATCTTTTTGAAATTAAGACTGAAAGGAATAGATTCAGTCAAGGAAATGAAAGCTGAGGATTGCACAGACGCAAAATTGAATACACTCATGCATATTAAAGAAAGTAAAGTTGATGACATTGGTAGTAATGTAAAAACAACTCATATAAGTAAATTGGAACTGGGGAAACTCGTGAAATGAATATAAAGAACTTTAAACAGCCTTCTTCCAAAAATAAAGGTGTGTTCCCTGGTGTTAGGTAATAATACTTACTTGTCAAGCGATAAAAATATGTCATTGTG